AGAGGATCTACCGTGTCGGTAATCGAGTCAAAGAATAGAGAATCGATTTGAATATTCGAGATTTGGGGAAACTGGTTTAAGGATGGAAACATGATCTGTTACCGTGTCGGTAATCGAGTCAAAGAATTGAGAATCGATTTGAATATTAAGGATTTGAGAAATTTTGCGAATAGAATTAGCGATTGAATGAAGAAAGCTTTGAAAAGAAGAAAGAGGGGAGGGGGAGTCCGGCTAGGGCCGAAGGAAAAAGAGACGAGAAGGAGGGGGGAAGGGGATCGGTCGAATAGAGTAGAGAAGAGAGAGGGATTAGATTTCACGATTTCTGATTTTGGTTAAACTTACTAATTCAGTCCACAGTTTACGAATCGATAAGTTTAACCAGAATCTACTCATAATTATGAGTAGATTATGAGAATTGGGCGAATTATATGTTTCTTTTTCAACTGAATCTCTTAATCTACTCATAGTTAACCATCAATGCTCAAATGCCAAACAAATAACTTCCAAAAACCTCGAAAATAAACTCAAATATCCACACAAAAAAATAAAACAAAAATACCATAAAACATAAATAAAATCCATATATGAAAACTGAAGGAGAGCTGAATGACCAATTCAAGCATATATGTTGCTCCAAACAATGGTTAGTGCTCTCCTCTGTACATCAACTTCCCACAAAGGAAAACGTATGGACGACTACTTGCCTTGTTAAACATAACAGACCCGAGTCTCTTCACATTTACCTCTCCCCTTTTTTTCTGCCTACGATGTGCCGTAGGGTTAGGAGAAATGGGTCATGTGGACAGGATTTTAACTCCACCCACGCGCAAGAATTAACCAATTACGATACCTCTAGTGGTTGACTGACTCTGGCCTTGCCAAGTCAATTTACTCTGTTTTATCTACTGTGTTATTATTGCAGTTTACTCTGTTACGATAACCGGACCGGACTGGATTTGTGGTTGAATCAGATAACCGATGCTAACTGGTCTGGTTTTTGCGGTCTACCTGTACCTGGCCTCAACAGCAATGAATGACTTATGAACTGATTTGTGATGTAGTTGTTTACTTCAGTACAGTAGTTAACGTGTTTCTTACGGCAGGAATCAAGCAGTACCTAATTTTCGCATCAAACACCTGATTAGGGTTATTGTTTGTGTAACTTCCCTTTGTTTAACTTACTTCGTCTCTGAGACTGTGACGAACCCTTATTTGCAAAAACAGGCAGAGAGCAGAATTAGATCAGTATTAGGTAGCACAACAAAAATGACAGGTTAGAATTTTCAGGGCATGCTGAAACTGCAAAACTGAGAAAGCAACAGCTGATACAACTCGCTTTGGAACCTCTATAATCTGCACGGTTTGAACTTTAGGCAATGGCAAACTGGAGCCATACTTTGAAGGCATGACAAAGGACATATGCCACTTTTCATCATCTTCAACTTGAGATTAATATGGAGATCATGAATCGAATGGGCACGATGAGGAAACATCGACGAAAATCTACTTTGCGTAACAATGGCTTTTCTTGCAATGAACACTAGCATTTCCATGGGATTCATTCAGTACAACCCTATGATACTAAACACAACAGAAAGATACAAATGTTTCAATCCAAATTCACCTTCTTGTTAGTACCAGCCATCAAGGCCGCCTCCAAATTCCAGCTCTCCAAAATTATGTGTGTTTACAATCTGACCCCTCAATTAGTTAGATTGACATAGAAAAATATAAGTGACCATTTTGTAACACGATTAAGTTGAGTGCCATTCTTGTCAATTAACCAACCGGAACTTCGTCGCCCTTTAATTCTCAAAAATCCCCAATCGTTCGACTCATTCTTCTACATACCTCCGGGCTAAGATCTGCAGTGATAGCATTCGAATCAATCAAACCACGGAGAAGCGAGTAACATATCATCCATGGCTACTGAGCAGAGTTTCCAAGTTCGCAAGCTACAGCTATCAGACAAAGGAAAAGGATTCATCGATCTCCTGCGACAGCTCAGCGTCTGCGATCCCATCTCCGACGAGGATTTCGAGGCCAGGTTTCAGGAGCTGAGCTCCCACGGCGACGACCACCTCATCTGCGTGATCGAAGATGAACGGCAGGGGAAGATTGTAGCCACCGGCTGCGTTTTCGTCGAGAAGAAGTTCTTGAGGAACTGCGGCAAGGTCGGACACATCGAGGACGTGGTCGTCGATTCAGGCGCCAGAGGGTTGCACTTGGGGAAGAAGATTGTGGAGTTTCTCGCCGACCATGCGCGGTCCAAAGGTTGCTACAAGGTGATTCTGGATTGTAGCAGCGAGAACAAGGCGTTCTACGAGAGATGTGGGTTCAAGGAGAAGGAAATCCAGATGGTTCAGTATTTCGTTTAGAACTGTTAAGAATTGCTCTCCAATTCTCCATTGTAATGTTCTTCTGCCTGCTAATTGTTTTGAATTGGAACTGGCAAGAATTTTGGTTAAACCTTCACTGTGCCTGAGATGAAACGGCGTCGTATCGGGATTGCGACTGCCGGACTGCGTACCTCCTCACCTGCCAACTGCCATTGAAAAAGTAAAACTAAAAAGGAAGAGCCAACAAAAACCCACCACCGAACGCCAGCCTTTGCTTTTGCGGCAATCTCCCTCCTCCTTCTGACCTCTCTGTTTCTTTTCTTTTCTTTTCTTCCGATTTGAAGAAAAGGGAAATAAAGATGTATGCTTGTTCGTCTTCCCTCTAAACCCTCTTTGAGCTGATTCCATTTTTTCGTTTGCTTGGGAGATTGGAGTACCCTTGTCTCGGTTCTTGCTTGCTGGGGTTTTGTCGTTGCGGCTTATTGCAGCAAGTTATTGGATTCAAGTTGGGAACTTTTTTTGTTCGTGTTGATTGATTCATTGAAGGTGCAAAAATGGCTTCCAGTTTGCAGCAATGGGAAGCCGATCCTCTCTTCTCAGCAGCCGAAGTTGTTCAAGATTCTGCCGACAGGTTGGATTGCTGGGCTGATTCTCCTTAAATGTTGCTTAAAAGGGTTTAATTTCTTTTCCCCCCCTGTCTTATTGGAAAACAAAACAAAGAAGCTTATATAGCTTATGCGTGGAGCAGAGTCCCTCCTGATTGAATTCTGAACTATTCTCGGGAAACTGTTTCTGGTTATTTGTTGAAATAATGGGGATTTCTTTTTGCTCCCCAATAATTATGAAGAAGAAGAAGAAACAGAATTTGTGCAGGTTTCTGTTGATTGTGTTTTGACTTTGGATAAGAGAGCCTTGTTTTCTTCCTTTGTGTTTGGCATTTTGACAAGGGAAGATTAGATAGATACTGTGGCATCCAAAACAATAAGACTGTTTTCGTTATATTCTAGGATGGACTCATTGTTTCGCCTGCTTCTACACGACCAATCCTTGCTTCAAGAGGATCATTCTGATCCAAGGCTGCTCGCCACAATAGATTACCATAGGCGGGATCTCGTGACTATTCTCGAAACAGCAAAGTGGCAGGTACTGGTTTCTCTTTGTTGTCGTCATCAGCTGGTACATTGATGCATTGCTACTGCTGATCATGGTTAACTTTTTCAACTTGGCAGTTGGAAGATTTCGAAAGAGCAGTCAACACTTCAGCCATGTCAGACAAGTCTCAATCGAAGGAGGATGTGGTAGCTAGGCATAGGCAGTTCATTACTGCAATTAGGGAGCAAATAAAGCTTGTCGAGGAAAGAATAGAGGGTCCTTCGATGAGGAAAAACGCGTGGGTGAATTTGAATGACCAGGACAGGGATGGATTGGCTTTGTTTCTTGATCCAACTTCAGCATTGAGTTTAACAGGTGATGAGATTGTTGAGCAAGAAAAGATCGAGAAGATACAAATGAATGGACTACATGGACACCATTGTCTTGTGAACGGAGATACACATAAAGAGATCTCCAGTGATAGGGATTGCAATATTGAGGGGAAGTGGGACCTGGAAGCTAGTGAAGCAGCACCATCCAGAAATATATTCCATGAAAACATGCTGAGAGCAGTAACCAGTAGAGTTAATTTGAGATTCTTGAGAAATTTCTGGACCATTTATGGGAACAAAGGCAGCAGAAGCCATACAAAGAGGTTGAAAGATGGGGAAGATCAAATCAATTCCCTAACACCCTTCGATGATTCCCCTTATGTTCAGGTACAAATTTTCTAAAGTTTGGTACAAAAATGGTGCATTAGGTGCTTCCTAGAGAACATTATGAAATCCAGTATCTATATTTCTGGTGCTACACCTTGGTGAGAAAGAATGCTTCTTTGCATGGATCACTTACACGCACCAACCAGCTTTTATTAATGCATCTTTAATGCATAGAATCAATCTGCTCACTATTTATGTTGTGAGTTTGGTGTATTTATCAACTGTTCAACTTAATAATCTGTAGTTCTCAGACATAGCAGACTGTTTTCATTAGATTTATTCTCTAACTGCATGCATTATCAACAACCGTCTGATAGAAATCCAGTGGAAATCTTAAGATGCTGATGATTAAATTAATGTCTTCATGACAGGGCCAATTAGGATGTGGATTTGAAAGCTTCCAAGTTCTAATTTCTAGGTTTCAGGCTAATGCGGTACGGTTGAGTAGCAATCTTGGAGTAAGATATCAAGTGTTGCCTTCTCATGTTCAAGTAAACCGACATTCAGTGCAAATGGTGTTGACAATGATCTTTGCCCTCATATTTTTGGGTAAGGAAAGCTTATTATGTTGCTCCATCTCTTTCATATCTTCTTGTCAGGATCCTTATCCTGGATCTGATCCTGTGCAGGTATACTGGTCTTTAGAATTGCTTGACCAAAGAATTCATTGGTTATAAGCTCAACTGCAGCATAATTAAGCCGTTAATATTGCTGAGCTGCATGCTGGTGAAAGTACATCCAGAGTGTACCAAATTCCTTTTCGGATGATGCCCTTGGAAGCATGTAACAATCTCCAGGAAGTGGAATATTAATTCATCATCAGCATCGGATATAAGTACAGAACACGAAATCCTAGGACTAGCCTGATGTTACTTCTGCATGCAACCTTTTGCAGCCACATTGTATGATCAGATTTAGCCCCATGGTGCAAGTTCTGATGAATGTCAACAAAGTCTACCTGTTATGTGAAGAACCAAATTGTTAATTGAGATTTTGAAAGTGTTGTGAAGAGACAAATTGTTAATGGTGTGCTGACATTTGTTGTTTCACTTTTTTACTGCACTGCAGAGGATGGTTGTCAAAAACATAAATCTCTCTTGGTTATCAAAAAGAAGAATGTATTAACCATGAATGGTGTATTAACTTTCTTGCGTAGGAATGTACCAATGGTTACAGTAATTGAGCAACGGACTATTGACTATTCCCACGAAAATGGGAGTATGAATATACATGAAAGTTGTTGTAGGTTGTGGAATTCCCAGATTCAAATCAAATGAAAGAGTCGATCACCAGGAAATATACACATTCTACTCTGATTTATTCTCAATCTCTCTGAACCTCCGTTCCCAATCTTCAGCCTCGATCTCTTGCCCGATTATATCTCTTTCGGTACTGTAGACTATGCGATCCTGTCCTATCACTGTTTTCTGAGCCATATCCCGAGCACTAAGAATCTGCAGTGAGAAATTCATACAAACAAATTAGCTGCTGAAAACCATCAAATGGGATTTTTCAGTTTCATACAAGCAGTCCTAAGCTAACTCTTTAGATATTATTGCAAAAGTGGAGATGTTTGTGATGCAACTAATGCATTGAAGTAGTAATACCTTTCGTCTTAATGAAAGATCCGGCAGTTCGAGCACTTTGGCAAATTCTTTCCTCAATATGTTCCTCTTCTCTATTTCAGCATTGCTCTTGGAAACAAGGAACCAACGAACCAAAGGGATTGCAAAGAAAGAACCCGCATATACCTGCAAAATTTTGTAAGAGTAACCATCTATCAAAACAGGCAACAGAAAACTAGACAAGAACTTGAGAAGACCTGAATCGGGAACCAAAGCTAGTTTTGTGACTTTTTAGAATATGGATCACAGATATACCTGGAGTAGTGGAAAGATGGAGCTAACAAATTGAATCCATCCACCTTGAGTAATAGGCATCTCCCTGACAATCAAAATAGAACAAAGAGATGAGTAGGAGACCTAAAAACAGAGCCAAATACCAATATCAAGACAACATACTACTTCCCACAAAAGAGGGGAAAGGAAAAAGGGGAAGGAGATTCATACTTCATCATGGCCCCAAGAACAATTACTCCAAACAGATTGAGCCCACCCAACCCAATGACCATTGCTCTTTCCGATGCGTTGGTTTTACTGCAAACAAAAATTCTTTGGATCAGGGAGCTTGATCTTTACAGATCTAACAAAATGCTGGAGGTGTTCAAAACAAGTGGAAGAAAACCTGAATTCCAATTTCTTTTCCTCGAGATAGTTCTGAACTCCTCCAACCCAATCTGTCCATCTTTTACTTCTTCCCACGTACTCCTTCCTACCGCTTCTTTGGGACGAAGCTGTTCGCTGAAGTGAGGGAAATCGATACACGATATTGCCCTAGACAGGATTGAATAAGCAAAGGTTCATATCAGATATCACCTTAGTAGTAGCAGAGATGCAGATAGACTATATGAACCAGCTTTTATAAGCTCATATAACTATGTGGCATCTTCCTTTGCTATCCATACCTCTTCATCAATTTCTGGTTGGCCATCAAACTTAAGGAGAACAGGTAAGACATATGATTCATCATTCTGAAACCAAAGAACAGAAGAGCGTCATATAAGACAATATTGTCACTAGGTCAGAGGATCACAAAGTGGGATTAGTCAACTCCAACTACTAGCTATTGGATTGAATAACGAGAGGAAGTATGTTATGTGGAAAAACAGAACAGTAAACTTCCTTGATAAATTTAAAGGGAAAGGGAACGGCTTGCAAAAGCATAACACATTTGCATTTAGTAGCCCCTTTAACATTTCAACTATGCGCCTTTAAGATGCAAACAACAGAAAATTTAGTCCAGTACTTGGATCCAATGAAAATCTAGTCTTGATTAAGATAAGAATTCGGTTAGAAATGAAAATTTAGTACAGTACTTGAATCGAATGAAAAACGTAGTTTTGATTAAAATAAGAACTAGGGTTAGAAACGAGACTCGGACCTTCTTTTTATGTAAGTTGAGCACAAAAAAAGTCAAGCTTTTACCAATTAAGAACATCTACAACATTGGAATTTAAGAGAAACTTGCAAGGCAACAGAAAACAGATCAAATGGTATGTAAAAAAACAAGAAATGTTTGCATCGGCACTAAGTAATGCCAACAATTCATCTTTAAAGTTGAAATATACAAGAAACCTGCAGAGCAGATTTAGAATTGAGGAGAAGCCCACTCCATTATGTAAGTCGAGCACAAAAAAGTTTGAAAAAAGGATGGTAATCACAATAAGACAAAGAAATGGAAAAACATACCACATCCTTGGTCTGTATATCCAGATAGGGAGCAAGTTCCTCGGCAGTCACAACACCACCGTTGGAGGAAATGTATTGCCCGATCTGCAAAGGCAAAAAAAATCAAAGCGACTATTAAAAAATACATTTGACACCTGCTAATATCTCCAGACAAGTTTTAATCCACATACGACGCAATAGGCTCTCAAGTACTAACTTTCCACATCAAACGAGTGGGCATCTCTCTATTCTCTATCTAGTCTCATCCACTAATAATAGGGAACAGAATCGTTTGCACAACAGGATCACCTAATAGGTATTGAAGTTGTCATACTATATTTATTGAGCAGAAGTAGAGTAGAATACTAGGTGTGCCAAAGATTCCATTAGTTGAACTAAAATGCTACATATTCAAGGATTTCTAACAACTGAGCAAAGTCCTAGACTGGCAACCAAACAAACAGAGCATACACAGTCCATGACAAGTGCCAACTGCAGGAAGATGGTTAACAACATGATAATAAACCTAACTAGTCTGACTGTGACAAGGCAACAGGCATATTGTGTTGAAAGATTCTAGACTGCTAATAAAACAAAGCTCCTAGAAAGAAGGTGCAATCAGACAAAGGTATTCAGTCCTGAATCATTACCAACTTCCACCTCTCTTCTTCTAGTCCTTGATTTGGATCGCCATCACCAAATACAAATGAGAAGATCTGGAGAAAAATATATAGGAAAATTAAGTTATTAAAAGCATCATAAAGAAGACCACTATAATAGATTGACTTAATATGGTAAGACGTCTCCACTTACAGATTCAAGGAAATTCATATTCTCATTGACATCAACTTGTTCTCTCCGCCTCCTGTAATAATATGGATCCCAAATCCTGAAAAAGCAACAAGGGAAATTCCAAACTTTCTTGATGTCAAGTTATTCCTCGTACAAACATCAGCTCTATCCAGACAAAGATTCCATATCCGCAAGCCATTTGCAGCCACTTGTTTTAAATATAGTTTGAAGGTCAAAGCCAATGAAAGCTAGCGATAAAACTTTGACCCTGGGACACAATCATGTCCCAGGACTACAGACATAAGATGGCCAGAAATTACCTGAATAAATCTATAGGATTGAAGTACATATTGAATCCTGAACCATAAGATCTACTGCTACGTCTTTCACGTCTGTCATCATCACTGCCATCACAAATTCCATATCATAGCTTTTCCATCAGAAGAAGGATATAGAGTGACACACCAAATATTGCTTTCCTTTATTTGTAAAGAAACGCAGCTCAAAAGGTCAATTTCTCGATACCTTCTACTTGAAAGAAGAAGTATGATTGTAGTATAAACCACCACTACTGAAGCAACTAATGCTGTCCCAAAGGAAACCCTGATGAGATACTCAGCCGTGCTCTGTATTCAAAAGGAAAAGGAGTGGACTTTACAAAACTACCACAAAATTCTCTTCAAACATAGCTATCTAGGATAGAATAGCAAAGTAGTTCAACCACTAGAATACCTTTGTTTTATCAACCAGAGGTTCAATTTTCAATCTAAACGACTTGGCAGCAAGCTTTGTGCGGTAATCCTTTGGGAAAACATAAAGCACGTCCCCTTCATCTGAAACCTGTTTGGAACCATCTTGAATGCACTCGCCAAATCAAGAACTTCAACTAACATCGGGAGAATGAACAGCAGGTAAAAGATGCATGCCATAACAGTGGTGGAAAAGAAAACCATAGCTCATCAAATGGGAATGGTTCTCTTAATGAACCTTAAAACCACAGCTCCAACAACTAGACCCTACTGCAGAAAAGCAGAATATGGAGAGACAATGAGAAGAACAGAAACCGCCAAATCAAGTACTACCTCCAGAAAGCCATCAGTATCAGCAGCAAGAGCCTGCAGAGCCTTTTGAGCTTCGTTCAACTTAAGCCCAGCTCTGCCTGCCACGTCACCCAACGTAACCCTGCCTCCGCACCCATCAACGGCGTCCATCGTTCGGTTCCTGACATCCGCCGGCAATTTGTCCGTCTCCACGGCGGCGCCTGGCCTAATTGGAGTGGTCACATCAACGCTACTCGCTCGCACCACGAGCCGCGACGCCTTAAAGTTCGGAAACTTGTAGGAAACTCCGGGAAATGGTGCCGCCGCCGCCGGACGGGGTGTTGGGACTCTGGCGAAGGAATTGACCGCGAAGATTAGAGAAGGACGAGGAGAAGAAGAAATAGGTCGGGACTTAGTGGGAGACATGGTGAAGCACGAAGACAGAGACGCCATTTGAACAATCGAAAGGAGAAGACTTTTCCCGTTTGGCGTCAGGTTCCGGCCATAGCTACTGCAGAACACAGTCAGCTCGAGAACGGGTTGAGTCGAGAGTTGAGACCATCCATCTAGCGAGTGAAGGATTGCGGATTTTCTTATCAGTTATCCCCATTGCTTTGATTTTGCTATTTCTTTCCCCTTTTGCCGAAGTTACACAATTACAAAAACATCCCCAAATTATTGAAAAAAAAGTACCCTAGAATAACACCTTCCTTATCAACTTGTTAGTTACCTCTAGCATGGAGTGGAGGCAAGTACATGATGGAAGCCATGGAAGAAGCCACAAACTTGGAGGAATTGCATACAAATACAAGGGATACAAAGGCTTTTACATCATATACTGATATACCAGAACCAGGGAAAATGAGCTGCATAAAACTGCACAGACTATCCTCTGACGTCTAGCACAAGATCATGTCTCTGAATTTTACTTGCAAGACGAATTTCTGTGCCGTCTTCTAGAATTCGACAGTCCGTTCATTAACGTATTATAAGTAGCAAGATCAGGTATGAAATCTTTATCCAACATCTCCTCCACCAAGACTTCCCCTTCCTTACTCTTGCCTTCTGCTGTATACCCAGAAACCAAATTGTTGTAGGTCGTGGAATCAGGCTCTAAACCCTTGGAACAACCCAATAGTCTCAACATGTCAGCATCCGACGTTCTGCCTACTTTGCAAACATCTTGAATTAGGCAGTTGAATGTTATAATATCTGGAACAATGACATTTCCGTTGAGCAACTTCTCCATCAATCTGAATGCCTCTTCTATTCTCCCTGACTTCCTCAAACCTTCAACCAACGTTGTGGAACAAATCAAGCTAGGAACATTCCCATTCTTCCACAACTCATACACCAGCTCCAATGCTCTACCTGCACACTTTTGCTCACAGAGAACAGACACTAGCCCAGAAAGATCAAATGCAGAAGGAAGAACTCCTTTCCTTGAAAAATCAATCAGTAACTCGCAAGCTTCCATCGTTCGGCTTTTGTTACAAAGTCCATCAACCAAAATCTCACAAGTCACAGTTGAAAACTCAATCCCAAGATCAATCATCTCATATGCCATCTTAACCCCATCCTCAATCTTTCCTTGTCTAAAGAAACCTTTGATCAAAGTATTGAAACTAACCACATTAGGGCTACAGCCCTTCTCCCTCATCTCCTTGAACAACTCCAAAGCCATCTCAAACTTCTTGTTCTTACAATAACTACTAATCAAGATGTTAAAAGTAAACACATCAGGCTTAACTCTATCCTTCAACATTCTGTCATAAACCTCTACAGCCTTATCATGCCGCCCACATTTCACAAACCCATTGATCAGAGTATTGTAAATAGCTACGTTAGGCCTCCCATCAATCAATCTTCTCATGGTTTCAAAAGCCACTAACCCATCAATCAAGTTCCCAGCTTTACAGTAAGCGTTGATGGAAAACTGGAAAATTGGCTCAATTCTTGGGCAAGAGAAGATACCTTCACTACAGGGGCAGGGATTGGAAGCCATGAATTGGAGAAGTGGGGTGAGGTCTGAAAGCCTGTTGGTGTTGGCGAGACTTCGGGCCATCCACTCGAAAGTTGTGTGGTCATGTCGGAAAGAATCCACGGTGGCGGCCCAGCTGAAGATGTGGAGATCATAGTGACGATAATGAGGGTGGTGGTGGAGCTTGGATTTGAAGAAGTGAAGTAGGTTCTGTGGGTTCACTGGTCGGGTTGTGAAGTAGGCTCCGAGGAAATTCAAGAGGGAATCGTAATTAGAAGTCGGCGTGAGAGTGAGGGTTGGGAAAGGGACGAGAGGTGCCGGCGGCGGCGAAGGCAGCGGCGGGATTGGAGATATCTGCGACGGAGATGGAAGTCTATCAAGCCTTTTCAGAATCGGCGGCAGCTTTGGCATATTGGTTTTTACCCCTTTTCCCTCTACCTTGCTATGTCTTTGACTGTTTTTCTTTATCCCCTGAATTGGAACAACAATTTCGCGGCTAACCCCGGCTCCTTCGCCGGCGACGACCTTTTGGGAACTGATCTTTTTCTGCTAATTGGAATTTGGAAACCGTCGAAACTTGTAATAGAGTAATAGAGTATAAGTACTAACTTGTAAGGAACAGAAGTAGGAGGATTGGTGGATGTTTTTGTAATTAGCCATCCCTCTTATATTCCCCTTTCTCTTGTCTTCTCCCCCTTTCTCGCGTCAGCCAAACTCTTTCTTCCTTCATAATCGACAACTCCTCGCCGGAGATTGTACTTGTCCGGTCAGGGTATTTCAAAAACATAAAGAGAATGAGAGCCAGCAGCTTTTGTAACAATTTATCGACTGAGCTCAGTGCCCGCCATAGTATCACTCCCGTTCACGGGTGTTCAAGACGCTGCAAATTCGGGGCGACCTCGCCTTCAACCAACTTCAGTGTGTCCTTCAGCTCTTCAATTATTCTTGCCCTACAGTGAAGTCTATGATTCTGGGTTTTCTTCAGTTTGAGAATCGTAGAAATGGGGTTTTTTTTTTGGGCAGGAACTCGTCGTTTGTCTATTCATTGTGCTGCTGTTCGGTTCCGGCCCTGCATTGATATACACAAGGTACTTTCTCACTTCCAAAGTCTTAGAAGTTGTCATCTTTCAGAACACCGTTTCCTCTGCAGTTTTTGGCCAATTTGGAGGAGTTTGGTAAATTGGCTCCTTAAGAGTATGGTATGTGGCTGCCTTGCTGTTGTTAGGGGAAAGTGAAACAAATTGTTGGGTCTACTCTTCGGGATTCCAGTGAGGATGGTTCAGGTCTGGTGACAAATTTTGAGTCCGATATGTCAGCTGCACAATTTGCAAACTTGTACAAAGAAGATGATCTCACCGGTGGTCATGTTATTATGCTTGGAGCTGATCCTTTAAGCAAAGCTGCAGCAACTGAAGCATTGCATGCCTATCCCGGTACAAATCCTTGTTCATTTCTGATACTGAAAAAGAATCTGGTGTTTGAATTGTGCCTTCCATGTTTCGGGTGGTTTTGCTAGAGCCTTGTGTGTCCTTCTCCGGCTTACTTTTGACTGTAAGAAGTTGTTTTAACATATAGGTGGCTTGCAAGTTGGAGGTGGTATCAACACCGAGAATTGCTTAAGTTATATAGAAGAAGGAGCCAGCCATGTCATTGTCACCTCAGTATGTAAATGCATTGAAGTTCCTCTATATTCTTACATGTCTATTTGGCTTTCTTTCAGATGTTTTACCTTCTGCTTCATGTTCTTTGTGCAGTTTGTGTTCAGTGATGGTCAGATGGATTTAGAGAGGCTAAAGGATCTTGTCCATGTTGTTGGCAAGCAGAGGCTAGTATTGGACCTCAGCTGCAGAAAGAAGGTATCTTGATCACAATAAGTTGTTGACTGAACCCCTGATGACAGTATAGACGGAAATGGGATTTAATAATACGATCCTATGGCATTCTTTGGTTTAATGTTCAGTTTAAACCATGCTGGGCAAACAACAACTTCATTACAGAATGTGTTTAGACCCCATTACACCTAACATCATTTTGTGGGTGTTCTGCAGGATGGTAGATACGCAATTGTCACTGATAGGTGGCAGAAATTCACCGAGGTGTATCTTGACGAGAAGATACTTGAATTCCTCGCCAGCTTCGCAGATGAATTTTTGGTTCATGGGGTCGACGTTGAAGGGAAAAAGTATGTCGTGTTCACCTCCATTTCGTGGTATCCAGAAAATTTTCTGTTTTGCTACCTTACTATGTTGCTTACTCATGCTGTAGGTTGGGAATTGATGAGGAGCTAGTGCAGCTCCTTGGGGAGCATTCACCGGTTAGTATTGCATACTCTACTTCCATAACCTTTAAACTGTTAAGTAAGCTAATGTCTGGTGAAACATAATAATGAGCTTATAATCTGATCCTTGTAATCGAACAATGATTGACGCAGATTCCTGTAACTTACGCGGGTGGTGTGACAGTAATGGAGGACTTAGAAAAAATAAAGACAGCAGGGAAAGGGAGGGTGGACGTTACTGTGGGGAGTGCTTTGGACATTTTTGGTGGTAACTTGCCCTACAGAGATGTCATTGTTTGGCATGCCCAGCAGCAGCTGCAGCAGGAAGTCCCCATAGTTTAGCTCCTTCCTTTCCAGTTTTGACAGCATCTGATGGATAAAGCAGAATTAGCCCATGCAGATGATCTTCTAGCTACTTATTTTGACCGGTTTTCATCGTTTTGTTCATTGTGACTCTGGAAATTAGATTCTTGTATGAGATTCTTTGAAGAGAATTTCTACATCTATCTGTTCCCCTTTTACTTTATTCGTAATGCAAAAGAGTCCCAAACAGAGTAACAGAAGAAGAAGATCATTCATATTAATAGAAGACCAGCCTGTATAGAATCTCTTGTCCAGAGACTGCTTTTTCGGGCTGCTCTTTCCTTCTGTAATGTGCAGCACATGAAGGCGTATTAAAAAAAATATGCCGAATGATGACATCCGAACTCCACGAAGGCTTATTGCTAAACTATCGATATTGCTTCAATAAACCTTAATCATAATCAGAAGAAGAGTTGTCGGATTGAGATTTAGACGGCTAACTAAAAAGTTATACAACTTTGCCTTTCTCTTGTGATAGAGATTTCTAGCACCATTGTTGTACACTTGGTTGGCATTTTGCAGGTGCTCATATGGTATGAAAGTAATTGAAAAAAGTTAAATAAGTTTCATCGATCTATCAGGTTATAGTTCGATTTTATTCGCTTTTACAAAATTATGAGAATAATTAAGCATAGGGATGGCAAACCGGGGCCCAAAAGCGGTTATCCGCCCGAAGCCCGCCCCATAAGGGCCCAGGTGGGTTGTGGTTTCTGGCCCGTCAACGGGTGGCGGGTAACCCGGGACCCGTCAACCATGGTTTTCGGGCGGTTGTGGTTAGTCCAGTATCCGCCCCGCGACCCGCCCGACGGGTTATCCGTGTAAAATACGACGGCGTTTGGAGGGCCATATATATTCTTCGCTTTCCCTTCGAGAAACCCTAGCAGCCGCCTCAGATTTCATTCTTCACCAAACGATCCAAAAAACAGAAACCCTAGTTTCCTTCTTTCTCTCTGCCCCCTCTCTAGCGATTAGCGATCAGATCGCTAGATAATCGCGATCTGGCCGATTTTTCGCCATTTCCCCTCACCAATTCCTCCATTCGACCAATTGCATGGCTGGAAGAGCAACCATCCGACGAAGATTTCGTCGGCCGCAGTCCAAAAACGAGTCATTGGAAGTTCAAGTCGCTGATTCTTCGAGAAAAGATAAGTTAATTCTGGGTTTCTTATCTTTTCTTTCAAGTATCTTCCCTGATTCCCCGTTCCCCAAACTCTCTACTGACTCTTCTTGTACTGGTATATATAGGGGGGATTCAGAGCGCAGAGGTCGTTTCTCACCACGCCATCTTCTGAAATCGAGAACAAGAACACCCCAGTCGAGTCCAGAGAGAGCAGAGATCGAGGGATTTAGCCGAGCCTCCAGACAGAGTCCAGTCATCGAGGGTAAGTTTCTTGATCTCGTCTATACTTTTTATGAATTATGGGTTAGTGGTGTCAATAGTGGTGTCAATACAGACATGCATGCATTAAATTGCAGTTCTAACTTGCTTTGTGTTCGTTGTTCACTCTTGTTTGGGCTAGGTTGGTCTCGTTTGGATCGGGTTTCGAGAACTGAAGCGGAACAGAGTCAGTGATCAGTGAGCAGTGAGGATTAGTCTACTGTCATTGGGTACTCGACAGTCCACATAAAACTCCAATCCGAGAAGGTAATCCCGTCCTCCTCTTCTAAGCCTCAACTTACTGTGTTTGACTGTTTGTTCATAATGTTGCGACTTGTTGTGACAATCAGTGGATTCATAATGCTAATAAGTAAAAATAATTAAACTGTAATCGGGATTTTGCTGCTAAAGATGTTTGTTTGCAAGTTTAGTCTTGTCATTGTGAATGTAACTAAGTTAATAACTAAGGCTTAAGTAGTAACACATAAATTTTTTATGTTCAGATGGAAAGTGCTCCTACTGCTATAAATGTTGACCTTGCTCCCAATGTGAATGTCCCTGAAAATGGTGTCCAACCTCAACCTCAACAACCTGTCCAACCTCAACCTGAATAACCTGGTAATGTTGAGGAGCTTGAAGCTCAACGTAAGTTAACCTCTGATGTGTGGCCTCACTTCAACCGAGTTAGGGTTAATGGGGTTATGAAGGCTAGGTGTAAGTACTGTCGTAAATCCCTTGGTGGGGAAACAAGTAATGGAACTTCACACCTAAGAAGCCATATCAAAACATGTATCCAAAAGAGGATACATGATGGTTCTCAAAAAATACTTGGCCCTAACTATCAACCTACTGGAAATCCTCAACTCTCTGCTTCTCAATACAATTATGAGGTTTCTAGGAAGGAACTTTGTTCAATGATTCTGGTCCATGAGTACCCCTTAGCCTTGTTGATCATGTGGGTTTCAAACGTTTTTGTTGTTCTCTTCAACCTCAATTCGTTGTTCCTAGTAAAAACACTGTCAAAAAGAACATTTTGAGTTTGTTTGGTGTTGAAAGAGGTAAATATCAGACCATTATTGATGGTAACCTGGGGAGGGTTTCAATTACAGCTGATTTGTGGACTGCCAGAAATCAGAAAAGGGGTTATATGGCAGTAACTGGTCACTTCATTGATAACTCTTGGAAGCTCCGTAACATAATGATGAGATTTATGTATGTTCCAGCCCCTCACACTAGTAAAAGGCTTGCTGATAGGTTGTTTGATTGTCTTTTGGATTGGAACATTGATGGTAAGTTGTCCTCAATCACATTGGACAACTGTACCACCAATGATTCCATGATTTTCCACATGAGAAATAAGCTTCTGAGCAGTGACTTGTTGCTTGATGGTAAATTAGTTCATATGAGGTGTTCTGCTCATATTCTGAATTTGATTGTAAGGGATGGTTTAGATGCAATCAAGGATGCTATAAATTTGATTAGGGAGAGTGTAGTTTACTGGAATTCTACACCTAAGAGGGTTCAAACCTTCTTCGAAGTTGCTAAGCAACTTAAGCTGTCTGTTCAGAGAAAGTTGTTCCTTGATTGTCCAACTAGGTGGAATTCCACCTATCATATGCTCTCTGTTGCTATTCCCTACAAGGATGTTTTCTTTCGTTTGAGTTTGAGAGACAATCATTACACATCAGTTCCTTCTAGTGAATAATGGGAATTTGCTTCTACTGTGATTGGGAAGCTAGAAATCTTTTCTAAGATTACTGAGTTGTTCTCTGGTTCCAAATATCCGACTGCCAATCTATTCTTCCCCAAGATTTGTGATCTCGGACTTAAACTGAATGAGTGGGGTGTTGATCCCAATCCTTTGATTTTTGGAATGGCTAGTCAAATGTCACTGAAATTTGATAAGTACTGGGATGATATCCATCTTGTGCTTGTTGTATCGGTTGTTTTGGATCCTAGATATAAACTCCATGTGATTGAATACTATGCTGGAAAGTTTGGGAATATCAAGCAAATGATATGTGGTTTGATTCGTGATTATCAAACCAAAGCTGAGAACAAATCTGGTTCTGAAACTGGAACTTCTTCTTCTGGTTCTGGATCTGCCTCTGCCATTGAACTTGACTTTGAACTCTTTGTAAGTCAAAGGAAAAAGAGTAAGACTTCCTTGATTACAACTGAGTTGGATATGTATCTTGCTGAGGATATCATTCCTCGCACAGCAGAGTTTGATCTGCTCTTGCGGTGGAAATTGAATGGTTTGAAGTATCCGACCTTGCAATCAATTGCAAGGGACTTTCTGGCAATCTCTATTACTTCTGTGCCTTCTGAGAGTGCACTTAGTTCTGGTGGGAGGTTGTTAGACCCTCAACGGAGCAGGCTGCATTATTCGACTGTGGAGGCAATGATGTGTACTAGGAGTTGGATAATGGAGGACATGCAACGAGGTAACATGCAACTAAAACTCTCAAGTTTATTGGTTTACGTTTTAGCAATAGTATGAACTCATTCAACTGGTTCTCTGCAGATTCGGAGGCTGCTGTGGAGGCATTGGAGGGACTCTTCTCAACAATGACAGTCGAAGATACAACTGTGGAAGAGGCAGAACCTGGTGGTAAGATCAATAGATCATTTTTCCATAGTGTGTTCTAATTTCTATTAGTTCATTGAGGAATACTTACATTTGCATTGTTTCGCTTTTTCAGGTCCAGAACTCACCTTAATGAGATCACCATTTGCCCATGAATACTGATTGGTAATCTGCTGTGGGACCAAGGTAAATGTCTTCTTTATTTGTTGTCGTTGATGTAGACGTGTTATTCATTTAGTCTTTACTAACTGATTCATTCATCTTGTGTGTTCTTTACACAGTTTCAATTGATGTCTGCTAGTCTGTTGGTTTACATCGATTGGAATGAGGGTCAGGGGTGGTCGGGTGGATGATTGCTCAATGATTCGATGTTGCTGGAACCTAGATGGAATGTTGCTGCGCTGCTGTTGCTTGAACACATTTCATTCTACAGTTTTTGGATAAGAATTAGACATTTAGAATTTAGAGTCGGCTGATACTTTTTGGTTGTTTGGTTCAATTGATCATTTCTATCACAAACACGAAACAAATGTTGTTTTTGGTTGCTGTTGCTGAGCTGCTGGCGTAGTGGCATCAGTTGCAGCTTGGCAAGCTTTCTGTTTTTTATTTCAAGTCTTTTTGAGTCTTTGACAGATCAGTTAGTATGAATAAAGTGTGAAGTGTCCAGTTTTCCAGAATTTTTATTTGTCATTTTCAATTTTCTTTTCATGTTTTTAGCGGGTATAATGGACCCGCGGGCACCCGATTACCCATTGGGGATGGAGATGGTTGTCCAACAAGCCCCGCAAGTCTGTTTGGGCCGGGAGCGGGGATACCCGAGGCCCATGGTGGGTGGGCAATGGATCCAGGGTACCCGGCCCCGATCCACCTCGTTGCCACCCCTAATTAAGCATGCTATGTCGAAGATTTGCTAATAACTTTTTCTTTTCTTTGTTGTGTCTTTTTGTGGCAACTCGATTCTGGTCAACCGGCATACTTCGTAGAAGGAAACTACACTCTCTAGCGGGGCTATCTTGGAGATGTTGGGTTTTGTTTTTGTTTTTTCCCGTCAGTGTCGTGTCTTTGCTCCTCGGAGCTTCTTCAGAGCTGCCCAAGTAGTGGCTTAACGTGCTCTCTTATCGTAGTCTGGTTGCATACAGACTAACGCGCAGTATTTGAGTCGGTCATGTAATTGTGTCGAAAAAAAGTTCCACAATGATATGTTCAATATAAATGAGTGAACTAGCCTATTACTCGCTATGTTAATGAGCTTCGCGGTGGTGGCTATGAAGTCTACATTCCCGAAAATATAAGAGACTAAAGAAGCGAGAAAGTAGGAACCTAATAAAAAAAATCAGAAGAGTTAGAAGATAATAATCCCAAAAATTATCTGGAGCTCCCGAAGAGGAAAGCCCAACGAATGTTAGATGAAAAGCCTGCACCTCATTAATATCATATTGGCATACTCTTCACAAAAAAAAAAAAAAAAAAACAGACCCCATTGAAGATGCACTCTTCCATCAATAGGTACTCCCAACGCGTCGACCCCATGCCCTAGCATAGCCTTTCCCGCAGGAACATCCACAATAGATCCAGTGTGTTTGACATGATCCACTTCTTCAATAGTGGTATCACTAAACAAATTTTGAGTTTTGAAGGAACGAATATGCTCGAACTTTGTGAAAAATGACTTAGAACGGAAAGATAAGATGGAGATGTAGTGTAGGTACGTGAACCTATTAGAGGAAGTGAAATGCCACAATCTTCTCTAGAATTGTACCCCACCGAACATGAGCCAAATGTTCATCCTGAATCCTATCCATGACAATCTTAGCATCACTCATAAACACCATAGACGTTAAGCTCCTAAATGCTAATTTTAGCCTCTAGAATTGTACCCATCGAACATGATCCAAATGTTCATCCTGAATCCTATCCACGACAATATTAGCATCACTCACAAACATCATAGACGTTAAGCTTTTGATGACACCATCAACTTGCATCATGCAGCGAAAGAACTCAACAAGAAATTGATCAAAGATGTCAATATATAAAGTTGTTGCAGCTACCACCACCGTGCTCGGTGCATCCTGCAAAACCCAACCCCTACCCCTATTAGAGTCGCTCAGACCCGTCGTCCAATTTTGGCAACCAGCGAACCCAATTGGGCCAGAACAAGAGGCAGTGAATTCCACTATGGTACTTGCAAACAAAACTGTGATAGCAACATAAGGATAGTATACCAAATTTCGAGATGCCTAATCCGCCAAAAGAGCACCACTGCTCTCATCAAGCCCCCACGATCAAGATCCTCCTTATTTACCAGACGTCACTAGAAAGTCTCCAAATGATCTAGGGACAAATCTTCCCGAATAATCGTAAAATCTTACCCCTCACAAGCTCTCACAAGTCACAACCAGCAAGTCACATGACATCGAAAGAAGAGGTGCTCCTGTGTTTCCACCTCCTCCTCACAAACTAGACACCGAGCATCCCCCATGCCCTAATGAGCAATGAATCACCAGTTGGTAAGACACGAAGAACAAGCTACCTTAAGAAATATCGCAACTTAGAGGACATAGGGGCAACCCAAAAATTTCAACCACAAAATGTCATCACATGTAGAGCCTCTACTTTCACTACTAGCCCTTTTTTTCTTTGTCACCCACATCTAGATGATTCCTTGACTTAACCGAGTAACACCCAAAGGGTTCTCTCATCCAAACAAGTCAATCTGCAATCAAAGAAATAGGCAGAAGAACAACCATGATGGATGGACTATATCCTCGTAAAAAATAATTTTGCAAGCAATGAACATTCCAGAGTCCCTGATCAGGACGTATCAACAATGTCATTGTCCCTTGCACCCCCACAATCCAAGAACGGGTCTTGAATGATGGGGATGAAGACTTGGCATCCAATTGTCTGTCAGAACTTCGATCGTGGACCAATACCCTATTTGCAAAAAGAGCCCCTTACCCTATAATGCTCGACAATTTAACATCTCACGCCAACTCCACAATGGCAAATACCCAACTTGCGCCTCGAGAAGGGAAGAGTTCGGTAAGTGTATGCTTTTATGCAAGTGAGCCAATAAAGAGTCTGACTCCAAGATCTATCATGCCAGCTTAGCCTGAAGAGCATGATTAAACTCCTCAAACCTCCTAAAGCACATCCCACCATCATGCTTACTCAACACAAAGTGATTTCCAGACTACTCGATGTATATGTTGGTTTACATGCTTCACCCCTACCAGAACATGGCCAAATGGCTATCTAACGTACGACACGCGAACAAAAGAAGGAAGAAGCAGGTAATCGCATGAATGAGGAGAGCGTTGGCCAAAACCTTAGTAAGCACCTCCTTAGCCACCTAGGAAAGAGAACATTGTTTCAACTTCGAAGAATCTAGTTGGGAGTTAACAAACCTAAATTATGAAGTAAATTGACTTTCTATCAAACACAAATATATTTATTCATTATATATTCAAATTTATCCTTAAAATAAGAATTGAATGTTGACTTTAGTTTTGAACCTAGGGATTTGCAAAAACGAAGTAGAATTTAATTGGCCTAGTTTGAATTTAAAAAATTTACTAAATCGAAGTATACCACTTGCAACATTCCAAACATTTTATAACTAAAATACTTGGGAGGGTTGCTCCCATATTTTCTTCATTATATTATTTTTTACACGATTAATAGTGACTGATTATGACACATTAGACAAATCTTACATCGAAAAAGCACAAGAGATATCCATGACCTTAAGGAACCATTCAGTTTTTACTACCAAGATACGTTTTTAGGTGGAATGGTTGATTTCTTGTAAGAAATTTTAAGTTAAACTTGTCAAGGTAGATCAGTGCAGAGATAGACGACCTCTTGGAAAGTCATCATGGTGAACTGAAAAACAAAATAATGTTGGGCTAGACCCAAAGCGGATAATATTTATGTCAAAAAAGGGTTGAGATGTTACAAGTTGTATCAGAGCCTCCCGACGTCATTCTTGAATGATGGTGGGGAAAACATTAACGAAGGATATTGAGTCGCAAATGAAGTGTAATGTAACACTTCAAGATAATCTCACATCGACAAAGTACAGAGATCAATGTTCATTTTGGATTGGGGTTAATTGCATGGTTGGTCACTGAGATTACAAAAAACGTTCATGTTTGGTCACTGAAAATATTTAAATCCAATCTTGGTCACTCAAATTAGTTAAATTGTTCAAGTTTTGTCACTCTCCGTCCAACTCCGTTAAATATGTCTGATGTGGCAGTCAACCCTCAAAGTTGACCGTTAACTCGGTGACATGACAATTAAAAAATAATAAATAAAATAAATTTTAATTGTCTACCATTTCCAACTCATTTTCAAAATAAAGTAAAAAAAAAAATGAGTTGGAAATGAGTGACCAAGATTCGGCGGCGGATATTGTGATTGCAATGATTATGGTCAACAGTGATGTGGCGGAAGTCTCATCTGTGAGTGGAGAGATTAGGGAAGTAGCCATTCGGGGAAAAGCTCACCGGCGACGGGTTAGAGTTGTAGACTGAGAAAAACTTTGACGATTGCTTGCTTCTACGGACATTCGCCCGCCCCAACAGCTCCGTCATCTCCCTCGTCGCCTCCCGATACTCCGCCGCGAATTCGGCGATGCCCCTCCTCCCTCCCCGCCGCCGTCCCACAACATGGCCAGGGTCGAATCGACCACCACCTTCATCGCCGCATCGAACACCCCCGTCGCCTCGCCGGCGCGAATCTCCCGCACCCCCGCCTCAACCGCTCCCCTACCCAGCGCGTGACACGTGTCCAGGGCCCCGCTGCTGAGATCCTCCCGGAACATGACCTTCCGCAGCCCGGCAGGTTGGCGAGGTCGATCCCGCCGTAGGCTAAGATCCGGCCCACAATAGGGATCGGGCGGGTCGAGAAGATGGACTCGTTGACCCGAAGGACCTCTTTCTCCAGATCCGGGGAGCTGACCACGACCAGGGATCTGTTGAGGTCCTGGATTGTGTAGATTGGGCCGTGGGTTTCAGCCAGGGAAGTGAGCTGCCAGTGGAGGCCGTTGCGGCGGAGGAACGGGAGGTACCCGACGACCGGCAGCCCACGTGGACCCGGCGGCGATTTGGTTCTTCGGAGATTTACGAGGAAGTAGAGAACCGCGGCGGTTATTGTGATTGCGATGGTTATGGTCAACAGTGATGTGGCGGAAGTCTCATCTGTGAGTGGAGAGATTAGGGAAGTAGCCATACGGGGAAAAGCTCACCGGCGACGGGTTGAGTTGGAAATGGTAGAAGATTAAAATTTATTTTATTTATTATTTTTTAATTTCCACGTCACCGAGTTAACGGTCAACTTTGAGGGTTGACTGCCACATCAGACATATTTAACGGAGTTGGACGGAGAGTGACAAAACTTGAACCATTTAACTAATTTGAGTGACCAAGATTGGATTTAAATATTTTCAGTTACCAAACATGAACGTTTTTTGTAATCTCAGTGACCAACCATGCAATTAACCCTTTTGGATTGAAATGAAAGAGTTCTGGTAAAACTTGAAAGACTTATGGTAAAACTCAGGAATTAAATAATAAACATGCCTAACATGAAGCAATGTAGAGATAGGTAACTTCTCTAAAAAAATTTTATCTTAATGCCTTTATTCAAACAAAAAAGTCACCATAATGCACTAAAATACAAAAATTAAATTCAAAATGGACAATATCTTGTCACGACTCAACCGTGACTGACCTCTTATTATGTCGAGCCCAAAAGAACAAAGCCCACTGCGCCCTGCAAATCTACAGTACTGGAGGCCTCTTTCGCGGTGCCCCGTCGGGTCGGGTATCTGCCGTTGCCCCGTAATCACGTGGCCGCCTGGCCCTGGCCCTGGCCGGGAAGTGAGAAGTGGTCCCAAGGCAGGCACGAGCCTCTCCTCTTCTCGCTCTTCGTTTCCGTTGATTCTCCTTCGAGGTCACAAGATATAGAGCAGAGAACAAACCAGAAGAAGAAGAAGAAAGTCGGCAGCTTTGCAATTGAAGATAGCTTGTCAAGGCCATGATATTATAGTCTGTACGCGAACCAGAACCGGGTCGAACAAGAAGGAAGGAAAAAAGAAGAAATTCTCATGTCGAGACTATCGCTGATTCAACGGATTACACCATTTTTCGCCGCTCGGATTCGGCAGAATCACCGGCTTCTAAGTTCTTCTTCCTCCTCTGCGCTCCGCCAAGCTCCCTCTGCCGCTCCATCCCTCGAAGAATCTCTGCACCTGACCGAAAATTGCATCCGGGTATATGTTCGTTCATTCGTCTATCTCGTTGGCTTTTCCTTTGATTTTTTTCCTTGATTGATGCTCCGATTCGTGATCTGTATTACCTTGCTGGGCTAATGCTTCAATTGGGGTCACTTCCTTTTCGCCGGTGAGCGCAATAGAATTGGAACCCCATCGCGTTTGTTCCTTCCGCAAAACCTCCCAGTTCTGCCAATTTAACGATGGAAATATTATAGATAGACGCTTCGGGCTTTCATTTTTATTGAAGCTTATTTTGTAGCATATATGCTAAATGATCTGGCTTATTCTTCGACTTCATGTATGAACTGGGAATCATTTCTAGCATCATTCGGTGGTTTCATGAGAGCTGATTGTGATTCTCATATCCTTTCTGGGTCTGATTTACAACCTGTTTTCATTCTGATATGATGTATGAAGAGGGGGTTTTCATGGAGGTATTGGGTTGTCTTTTCAGAGAATGAAAGAACTGCAAGCCAGTGAGAGATCAACAGAGGAGAAAATGCTGCGCTTGGGAGTAGAAACCGGTGGATGTTCAGGATTCCAATATGTTTTTGACTTGGACGATAAGTTGAACCCTGATGACAGGTGCTCTATCTTCTTTACTTTTGTATCCTGTTGATGTAAAGTTGCTGGTTAAATCATGCTTTAGGATGCCATCATGCCTTATTTTTGTACCTATTATCTTTTCATTGCATATTTTCTGCAGAGTATTTGAGAAGGAAGGAGTGAAACTAGTTGTTGATAATATATCTTACGATTTCGTTAAAGGGGCAACCGTAGATTATGTTGAAGAGCTCATCCGATCTGCATTTCAAGTAAGCATTCCTTCTGTAAAGTGTGTGTTATGCTCAATTTTTCATTTGTACGTCTTCATTCTTGTTGTTGTTCATTGTGGACGATTTACGTAGGCTTTCCTTTGAAATATGATGATGAAATATGAAATTGGGTTGATGCCTTGATTTTACTTATCTGAAAAATGGATTAAGGACAGTATTGTAGCATCCGGACGCTGTCTCACCAATCAGTTAGCTCAGCTTTGAATGGTAACTGGTAACATTGTGTGGTACACAGATCAGTTCATGATGTGCTACACTGTCATGGACTCAGTAGTGATGTTTGATACTCTCTAATCTGGCTTGAGCTTCTACTGGAAATGTCTTACTCTGGTAAGACAAGTGTTGTCAGTGGTAAATATCGAATAAATGAGCATTCCTAACGATTTAAATAGTTATCATGCTATTGGTAAGGGTTTGATCCATCAAGAGGCCGATTTACCTTAGATGGACAGATACTTCTTCTTTACCTAATTATGCGTGGTCAGCTATTGCGGACCTGCAGATTCAATGATGTTTAAGGTTGATCAACACCTCTTGGATAATCTGTCCCACTGAATCCCTAATCTAATCAAGTTGCTATTCTGATGAAATTTTAAAAGGGCCTTCCCAAAGCACGAGTCTAGATTGACTTGGTTAGGACCGTGATCATAGGTGACTAGTAGACATGTAGCTAATTCCGCTGCTGATTCTTGTAGTTATCAGAATACAAGTCAAACCTAGGATCTTCAGTATTCGACAAATCGCATATAGGTCTACATCTTGTTGATGAAATAGGGCAGATACATGACAGTTATTAGAGACAAGACTAATATTTACTGCAAAGCTCTTTTGGATTTTGAAATGGGTTTGGTACTAAATTTGGGTTTCTTTTGCAGGTGACTGAAAATCCAAGTGCAGTTGGCGGGTGCAGTTGTAAAAGCTCTTTCATGGTTAAATAGTGATACACTACACTTCAACGAGACACTGATTCTTCCTCCCATGTATTATTATGACCGATTAGCCTCTGTCTGTATTTTATTGTTCTCTTTTCCTATTGATTCCTATAATAAAACTGAACCCAAATTTTGCACCAGATACCTTGTATAAACGCGATCCCTGTAATGCAGAGAGCTCGTTACTGTTTGAGAATGCAGCAATGGAGAGAAGTAATATATATTTTTTTGTTCATAGAATGTGTCCACACTGTAGAATTGCTCTATAGGAACGGATTTGTTCTCCCTGTAATTCAGAGAATGTTTCCTCACTCTGTTGTGGGATGTTACTAGCAAGCTTTTTCTTCTCTAAAAATGTTTGATCGAAAATAATACTAAGAAAGGTGACTTCCTAGTGCATTAGTGTTAGTACGATAGCAAGTGCAGAACTGCATCTTATACAATCATTTGTGGCAACTTGAACGAAATAAAAGGTGTCTTATAGACTTAACTCGTTACAACAGAAAGAAACGAGTTCAATCGAACAGAATAAACATCCATAGAAAGCCAAATGGCCAGATCTTGCCAAACTGAAGAGCACAATGTTCTCAGTTAAATTACTGTTGTGCTTACAGAAACAAAATACAAAAAACACCCAAAAAAGAACAAATGCAGTTGTCTTAAAAGTATGGTTTGACTCCCTTCCAAGAACTCTTATTGCTAATCTGGTGACATCAAGGTTTGACTCCAAAACTCATCCAATATGAGACATCCAAACAGGCAATAAAGCAGAGTTAAGCCGCTCATTCTGCTGGTCTTTGTCCCAAAACTGAAATGTCTTCATAGCGTTTCTGCAGCAGGAAAAACAAAGTAACTCAGAGAAAGAAAATAAAAATATCATTTCAAAGATGATTCCAAGGATAAGACACCAAAGGTGAACCAGTAATGATATCAAAGTCTGATTCTTTTTTCTGCCTTGAGCAAGGAATGCAGACACCATGAGTACGATACAACAAGAGAGTTGCTGAGTGCAGATAGGAAGACTAAGATTACAGCATCACACAAGCCCGGAATAAATGCAGAGAGAAAGAAAATCAATAACGTCAGAGACCACTGTGTGATTAGCCAAATAAAGACATCTTCATAACCACGAAATCACTACGACATTCACAAGTGCAGAAAGCACCCCTATACAACCATGCGCATACTGAGTCAAACATTGAGGGTTTGTCCTGACAAATAATGTTAGCAAAATGATAAACATACATCGCCTTGGAAGTTTATCTATCAATGGAAACTAACAACAATGGTTTGAACAAGTCCAAGGAAGAACCTAAACAGCAATGGTCCGAGCAAGTCTAAGGAAGAACCTAAACAAAAATGGTCCTAGGCTAGTGTATCTCAGCAAAAAGGGTATACACAAATTACAGAAAAAACCACAGGTTAGCTATTCTTGAAGATTAAAGTAACTATGAAAAGGTTAGATCACAAAACATTGTCATCAACACTAATGACACCCTTAATAGGGTTCAAAGTAGACTTTTACAAAATATTTCATCTCCATTCCCGTATCATTTCAACTTTTTCCACAAAGCATTTGGTTTTCTTTTATGAATCACAAAGCATTTGTTTTACGCAGAGGTTATGCAAATGATGAATTGACGCAATCAATGCAGGTGGCGACAGGTACAAAAAGAACATCCGTGAAAAATAGAAAGGTGGAGAAATTCAAGAGCAATACCCCAACATTGTTGTACTCCCACAACTTGTGAACTCCATAATCCACAGCCTGCACCAACCAGATGAAGCGTTTTCCAATTAGTGAGATGAATTTATCATTAAAATCCTAGCATTCACCACCCAATTCTTACAAATAAACAACGACTACCAAACATCTCAATCAGACAATCTAAAATAGTACTATCTAATGCATGTGAAAAGCTCGGCGAGAACACGCTGTTCAGATCGGCGTCCCAGTGTTGCCCATAAAAGATTCCAAATACTAATCGAAAGCTTTAGAACAAATAGCTCAAAGGGACTTCTGAATCATCAAGGGAATCGAGATAATTTTCCAGTAATTCCAATCACAATTTCCCGGGAACAGAACAGTCAATTCGTTACAATTCTCAAGCATTCACAAAGTTAACACGAAGAATCAAATGCCATCAAATCGTCGAAATAAGGGAATCGATCTAGAAACGTACCCGTTCTCCGAAGAAAGCACCGGCGAGGACAAACGTGGCATAGACGGAGGTCCGGCGCATGAAAACCTTGTAGATGCCTTCGAAAAGGCCACTTTGAGCTCTTCGAGGTACGTATTCCATGGTGACTAGCCTCGATTACGCTGTTCGGATCTGTCCTCTAGGGTTTGCAGAGACAAAGGGAAAACGGGAAAAGAAGAGATGCGTCTGCTTGCTACCAGAGAAATTTCGACGATGGCGATGTAGAAATTGTTTTCTCTTTTTTAATTGAGATAACCGGGCAAGTCAGCGGATCGAGCCCAGTTGTTGGGCCTGGTATATTGCTCAGTCATGGGCTCATGGCCCACGACTTTCTCCCTCGCATTTATTACTTCCTTTTTCCGTTTACCCTCCCATATTATTTTTCTTTTCATAAAGACCCCTCCTCTGGTTTAAGTACTAATTATTAATTTATTAAAGGGGCTTATTCGTTAACTATTCATAATATAAGACTTATTTAGCTATTCATGCAAATTTTAGTCAGTGGATGAATTAACCAACCTTTTCAGTGCTGAAGACTCGATGTCAGCGTGACGTGTGGTTTGGAGGAGGAACTTCGTCCTACTTCTGTGCGAGAGCCACAGTTTTCGCCATTAATAACAGTTTCGTACTTGGTAGTTTGAAACTTCGACCTGAGAGTATCCCAAGCCAAGCAGTCTGCTGGAGAATTTACCAGGAAGGAAGATCCTTGCCACGATGGATTTGAACGACGAGGGCTCCCACTTCGAGCTCAAGGAGATTCAGACACTTAGTGGTCACACCGATAGGGTTTGGAGTCTGGCCTGGAATCCGGCCACCGGAACTGACGACACGCAGCCGGTTATTGCTTCCTGTAGCGGCGATAAGACTGTCCGAATCTGGGAACGGAGTGCCTTGACTCGTTCTTGGGACTGCAAGGTTTTGACTTCCTGTTCCTTTTTTGTTTTTTCTTTTCTCTGATTTTGCCTACTATGTTATGTATGATAAGGGTTAATTGAGAGTGATACAGAACGAGGAAGCTAAGCTTCATTGGTTGATTTTCTTTTACATATCAATTACATGAAACAGTAAGGAAGTTTGATATAGTGTTTCTCTACGAAATTTTCAGTATGCATCTCGTTAAGTCTGGAGTGTCGACATATCTTTTTAGCTAAATTGAGATGATTAGCTATTGAAGTTGGATTCAGCAATGGATGTTTGTTGTTGATAATGATAAGTGGAGTTAGTTGATTTCGCATTGGAACTCAAATTGGGAATGATCATGCAGGCAGTTTTGGAAGAAACACATACTAGAACAGTTCGATCGTGTACCTGGTCCCCTTCTGGGAAATTATTGGCTACAGCCAGCTTCGATGCGACCACTGCCATTTGGGAGAATGTTGGGGGTGATTTTCAATGTGTTTCCACTTTAGAGGTATGATTACTGTATCTTCGTTGCCCTTATGTGCTTGTGATTCATAGGGTTTTGTCTTTCAAGTTGTCAGTTCAGTTCTCTTTAAATACGGTAGGAATGAGTAAGCATGGTGCGGTGTAAGTTTGCTGGCTAGATAAGCAATCCTGACTGTGGTTTCTCCTCACTTTAGTTTTCGATTTGTGGTGGTGGTCTGCTAACAGGGTCATGAAAATGAAGTCAAAAGTGTGTCTTGGAATGCGTCTGAATCTCTATTGGCGACGTGTAGTCGAGACAAAACTGTTTGGATTTGGGAAGTGATGCCAGGGAATGAATTCGAGTGTGCTTCAGTGCTGCAGGGCCACACACAAGATGTTAAGATGGTTAAGTGGCATCCAACCATGGATATTCTATTTTCCTGTAGCTATGATAATACCATTAAGGTATTGTATGCGGGAAATCCTCTACTTATATAGTTTGTGCGAGTGGCTCTTCATTTTAGTGATCAATATCAAAATGAACTGTAATTTTAATTTTTAAATGAAATTCTGAATCAGGTCTGGGCTGAGGATGATACTGGTGATTGGCACTGCATTCAGACCATAGGTGAATCTAGCAAGTACTACCTTAAATCCCTTCCTAAAATGTATTTTCCATATGTGTTATAAGCACTATCGTGGGTATTTTACTGCTTTTATACTTCACATCATGATGTGGTTACCCCTAGTTTTTCTTATATTGGTGCATCATTTTTGTGCTGCTGCTGTGAAAACCAGTTGGTTTAACTCATTTTGTTTTCTCCCCTCCTTTTCAGTGGCCACTCTTCTACTGTTTGGGCCATTTCTTTCAACGCTGAAGGGAACAAAATGGTTACATGTAGGTATGTTGAACATAGTTCCTCACTAATAGTTAATTATAATTGCCAAGTGCATGGACAGGCAGATTTTTTTGTTTGGCACCCAAGAAAAATGAACTAAAAGAAGCTCTCTTTTTTGTTCAGTGACGATCTTACCTTAAAAGTATGGGAAGCAGATATTGAGGGAATGAGATCTGGTGATGATCAAGTACTTTGGTGAGTTAAGCATTCTGTTCACGTTGTTTGAGAATGGGCAGTAATTCTAATGCTACCATAAACTTGATATATGGCCCCTGTTAATGAGACTGTTCCTTGAAGCAAGCAAAGAGGAGTGGATTTGATGCAAAATTGTAAAGTTTAATAAAAGCAGTCTGTTGTGCTAGGCCATGGTCACCACATAATGCATCTGTAGGATTATGGCCTTTTCACTGGCATCCAATTAAATTGAAATAACTTCCGCAGCTTATGGTTCAGTAAACTAGTGTGTGTCTCTAACATATAACCATTTTCCTGTGATGATATGTTTTTAATTATTGGTTCAATTTTTTTACGATGCTATGGTTTGCTTTTCAGGAAACATATTTCTACACTCACAGGGTATCATGATCGTACAATCTTTTCAGTTCACTGGTCAAGGTAATAGTGACACCTACTTGAAGCTGATATGTTCAGGCAATATTTTGATTTTCGTGTCTTTGTCATATCTCACAACTCCTAAGCATATATGCTATCTCATCCAATAAAGGGAAGTGGAATGAAAGAATGTTTTTATCCTCGGGTGATTCATTATGGTAACACCCAGAATATCCATCTGTTTTCGCTATTAAGGTCCAGATTGATTAACCAACCTACTTTATGTAGTAATACTTCACTATTTCTTTTGTTATTGGAGAACATTCAAAGCTGCTAAGTAATGGTTTTTCAAGGTGTCTCTCTAATCTTAATGGACATATACAGTAGTGGGCTAGCTCATATGGTTTTTGTATTTCACATGTTGCACTATTGTTGTGCAAGTTATTTGCATGGATGTTAGACACACACAAAAGAAAAAGAGAACAAGCCTTCTCTCATATAGTTAAATTTTATCTGCATCTCGGAAACATTCTATCTCTGTCCTAAATTGCTTGCATTTCGTTTGTGTAGTTCCTTTTAAATCATGAAACTGATCCTCATCTGGTTGTTATATATCTCAGGGAAGGTATTATAGCCAGTGGAGCAGCAGATGATGCCATTCGGTTTTTTGTTGAAAGCAAAGACAGTGCGGTACTGGACTCTCTATTCCTTAATTTGAGCTACTCATAAATTGGAAGATTACTGCTATTGTTATATCAGTTGCAATGACCATTTTGTTTATAAGATTTTATACGATTTGCAGCCAAAACTAGCCAAGTCTTTGTATACTTTCTGACACAACTAATACTAAAATATGGTCAAGGGTGGATGATGCATATGTTGCTTAGTGAAGCCTATAACTGCAAAACTTGAAATATCTGAGATGCCACGCTTCTTATCTTCCAAATATCTTCATCTGAAGATCTTCTCTGTGCTCGTTTCAGGTTGGCCCTTCTTATCGATTGTTGTTGAAGAAGGAAAAAGCCCATGATATGGATGTAAACGTAGTGCAATGGAGCCCCGGGGTAAGATCATACTGTCTTTACAACTTAATCCTTCTGAGATGACCCTTGATACTGAAATTAGCTTTTATCATTAGTTAAGTTTGAATCTGGCAACTAGACTGTGGGTGTTTCACTAATTGCAATCAACTGATGCGCTCTTAATCAGTCCTGCCACTCTTGAACTTGAGATAAAGTGTCTCTCACATCTTGCTAGGATTGTTCACATATTGCAATGGTAGTAAAGCTTGCAACATTATGAGTCAAACTAATTTGATTTTATGTTCCGTGTAAGACTACTGAAGAGTTGAGGCAACATATGCATTTATAACGTGATAATTACCTGCCCACTTCATGTTATGGCCTCTATTTTATATCTTTAGACGCACCAAGATATGAACTTTGGCATTGTTCGAAGGCTAAATGTTGATCAAACTGAATTCAAACTGGCAGGAAAATCGGGTGTTGGCTTCTGCAAGTGATGATGGCACGATAAAGATATGGGAATTAGCAACCAATAGTACTTGATGAACATACAGAGTCTTTTAATCTGTGCATGATCAAGCATCAATGGTGTTGTATTATTTATCTGAACTGGGAGAATTGTTGTTCCATTCTACCGAAAGCTATCTCGTTATGAGATTATACAGCTCAAATAGCTGTTAGGTCCAAAGTATAATCTCCTACACTGCTTTCTTATTGTTTCGACTCATCCTCAAATGTAACAAATCGACCAAAACTATAGCAGAACTGCAATTCGAGTCGGTAAGCTGAAGCAAGTTTCTATATTCACTGTGACTAAAGCATTGCTCTTCTCGTACTTTTTTCCTGTGCTGAAATTTGTTTCATAGTAAATTAACAAGTAGATGTGTGTTCAATACATGGAAGGGAAAACTCTCATTGTGAAGAAGTATGAAGATGCCAACAAATACACGAGAATGGAAATACAGAAGAACTCGAAAGAGGACGAATGTTCATGCAGAGCTTATTAATGTTCTATAGCATTGATCATTTTCAACACCTGTTTCCAATGCTCAATCCCTGGGGACTTGGAGTCCTTAACCTAGTCCTCAATCCCTGCTGAGCTGCGAGAGCATCACGAGCCGACATGATGCCATTCGACATGATCGCAGCGTCGAAGGCAGAACAGTCGATCCAATCCTTGAGCAGCTCTTCCTGTCCCCAAGTCTCAGGAATCCAAACTCGTCCGGCCACTTCTACCCTGTGCCTCTTCAGCTTCTCCCGCCCACACCACCCGTCTTCCTCTTCCTGCAGCAACGGTGGCGTTGTTGTTGTTGTTGCAGTTTCCTCCACCACCACTGCTCCGTCCCTGCCAGTAATGCTACTGTCCAGCCCCTGCCCTGCTGTTGCTGCTGCTTGTTCTTCGTCCCAATCGCGACTAAGGGGATTCGAAGGCGACGAGGAGGAAGTTATGCTTGTGCCATGCCTGTCCTTTGCTTTCTTCTCTTGCTGGTGGCTGTCTGGTGTGGTGTTAACACAATGGCTAGATGATGCTAGTACTGTTGCGTGAGCTTCTTCAGCTGTAGATTCCAAGGGGTATTCTCCACTGGGATTCATGGTGCCTGAGCTTGTTGTCAAACTCTTCGACGTACTCGACATTCTAGGTAGCGTTGAAGCGGGAAGAAGAAGAAGAAGTTGCGGGATGGGATGGGATGGAATGATTGCAGCAAGTAGAGAGGAATGGTGGTGGAAAGGGAAGAAGATAGATGGAGGGTTGGGAGGGAGGGAGGGAGGAATAATGGGTGAGGGGAAGTTAGATTAGACGTCAAAGCTGTCCCTTTGAAAGTGTAATGTGAGTGGCAAGTGACAAAGGAACGTGTCTCCTTTGTTCTGTGTTTGTGGGAGAAATGAGAGCGTCAACTTGTGTCAAGTTAAACCACCACTGCTCTGCCCCCTTCCGCCAGTTTGGATGGTTTAAATCAGTGTTATAAAAGCCGAGCCGCTCGGCCCGACCGGTAAAACCGCCACCCGGTCACAAAACCGGCTCGGAACAATCTAAAAGCTGCTCCGGTTTTATGTAGCGATTGACGAGCTGCCGAGTCGGTTAACCGATCGAGCCGCTCGTCCGGTTTTTGTCATTCAGCCGTTCAATTTAATTAAAAAAATTGCAGAAAATTAAAAATGGAAATAAACCAAAAACGTCGGGCTCTCAAACTGAATCCTTATTTGCATTTCACAATTTCGAAGGAAAGAGACGAGCTCTGATTAAGAAATGTCCACTATTTATACTGATAACGTTTATTAGGTACCGTTTCTCTAATGGTTTTTAAACGGTCTAATGTCGGTTGGACCACTAAAGTGCGAGCCGTTCTCATTACCGGGTCATGCTCCGGTTCGGTTCTGACAACATTGGTTTAAATCACAATAAACCTGGTTTGAGGATTTTTTTTACAGAAATATCACTAAAAAGAAAGAAAATTCAAAAATACCACCTATTTCCGAAATTTTCCAAAAATACCACCATTTCTTGAAAACCGTCTGGTGGGCATGCAGTTTTCGATGTAAACCGCAAGTGTGGGGGCGGTTTTGGTGATCGCATGGGGTCGATGCGGTTTGGTCCAAAATCGCTGCCCCATCAAGCGGTTTGGTCCCTTTTTTCTCGATAAATCCTAACATAGGTGGAAACTTCAAACTAACGTATCTTTGTGCTCGGGTATCCGATAGTAGCGAGATTTTTTTTATTCCGCATAATTTTTCGAGATCTTACGGTTTTCGAGAAATAGTGGTATTTTTGAAAATTTTCGGAAATGGATGATATTTTTTGAGTTTTTTTTCTTTTTAGTGGTATTTCTAGAAAAAGTCCCTGGTTTTATATGATTCACATAAATTCATATTTTTTTATATTCATAAAATTCAAGTGATTAGTGATCAAATCGTAGATAAGTTTGGTTGGAACAGAACAAACCATTGCACACTCGTAGACCAAGACCAGCTGAATAAAGGAAAGGACATAGATCATCATCAACTTCAATTTGCATGACCCAAAAAAAGATGCTTGCAATTGTACCCTCTTTCTTTTCTGTTGTGGAGATTTTTTTTTAATAATAAATTGTTGGTGGGGAAGGAGGGAATTGTGAGGTGGATGTTTGATCTTGGCTTGGTGTGGAGGAGAGGAAGCGGTCTATGATATTTGGATGAGAGGGGGCCAATGAGGTTCTAGGGTTTTATTTTTATCCCATTTTTGTTCCTTTGGACAAGAGATTTTGAATTGTATTATGTGAAGCTTTGCTTGCTTTTCTATGGTTTGGTTGGGAAGTTCCAACTATCATTAATGGGATGGAGACTATTTTCTTTCTTCTTCCTTCCCTAATTTCGCTTTTCTTTTCCCCCACCTCTATTTTTTTTTTCAGTTACCATAAAAGGAAGATTCATATTTTTGTTTTCTTTTGATAAGAAAAGGACGTAAAAGCACCACCACAGGGAATGATGATGAAAGCACCAATATTACAATGCTCGTACTTGTCACACATTAATTACGAGTGATTGTTTGTCAAGTAATACTTACAAATTTGGAATGAAATATGTCTGAGTTTTTTAAACCAAGATAAGTGCTCAGAATATGGTCGGACTGTAGTATTACAAAGAAGATAATAATAAACGATAGTCCGTATGCAACTGGACTCCTAATAAAAGAGTTTGTTTTATCATGAAGTGAACAGTTATATTGAAGCTCCGAAGAGCAAAAAGACACGTGACTGGCTCAAAGGAAGAGAAAAGAGAGTGAACTTCCTCTAAGACAGCTCTTGCTCTGCAGTACGAAGATCTCCTTGAAGTAGCATCAGTGATGACCAGTTGGGAATCTCCCCAAAAAGAAACAGTGGAAAATTATGATGAAGGTACCATTTCATGGCATCACATAAGGCAAGCGGTTCTGAGGTATAGGCATCGGTAAGTCCAATATAAGCTTTACCAAAGGAAAAAAGAACGGTTCCATCACTTGTGAAGCCGATGAAACCAATTGCACACCCTTGTTGGGCTTTTGTGGCCCCATCAAAGCGAACCAAACTACCTTCACTAGGATAGCTTATCTCCAATCCTCGAGTCTGAGAACCTTGCCTTGTGGAAGAATGCACTGTTGACCTTTGCACCCGTCGAGACTTCTGAACCTTTTGTACCTTTGTCGTTTCCCATTCCTCCACGCATGAGTTGTTAGTTGCCTGTACAGGACCTGGGATTGATATGAAATATGCTCATAAGTAGGGGCGGAAATCGGTACGGTATCGGTATCCCAATACCAAATACTGAAATCTCGGACACCGAATTACACCCTAAACTCAATCCAAATTTCAATCCCTAAATAATTTCGGTATCTCAATCCCAATCCCGAAATATTTCGGTATCTCAATCAGTACTTCCATTTTCCAATCAATATTATCAAATACAAAATTTATTACCTTTGCAGTTAAAAATTAAATATATAAATTAGATTTAATTGTTTTATTTAGGGCAAAGAGACTAAGTAAAAAGTCTTGAGTTTGCATCTTTAATTTGACGAATTGGGGGTTGAGAGACGACTAATACTATTGTTTGCTTATTGGTGTTATGAAAATAAAAAGAGATATTAGGTGAGAAACGAGAGTGACTTAAATTGGAAAGTCAAATTTGAGTTGGATGGGGACTTCTAAGTTGTGAAATAGTGATGGAATGATCTATGTATAATTAAATGACAATCTTGGTGGTTGAGAGTCGTGTAGTAGTTAATGAGAGAGTCTAGTTGAGAGGATAAAATACACACTAGCTTATATTTCGGTATTGATCGGTATTTCGGTATATACTGATCCCAATCCTGTAATCCCTAATACCGAATAACAATTAAAATTCAATCTCAATCTCAATCCCAAGAAATAATACGTGTATTCACTAATACCAAATATAGACAAATTTGGTACGGTATTCGGTATATCCCAAATACCGGTACCAAACTTCCAGCCCTACCCATAAGTGGCCTTGCATCGCCCTTTCCATATTCTCCAAATGAGGAATACTGTGAAGGTAACATAACTCTTGGATATGTGACGGGTAAGAAATATGTTTCTCCAAGATAAATCCAACGAGGTTCTCTTCATCGTATCTCGAAGTTGGTCTAAACCTGTTATCAACCACAGTTCTCTAGTGATTCTACAGTCAAAATAACAGTGTTTGAGGTCTTCAATTTCCTCACAACATATGGGACATGAATTGGAGATAATTTTTTTCGTAATGCAATATCCCCGTTACGGAAAGGAAGGGTAGTTAGCAAAAATGGTCACATAACTTATCACTTTGTACAAAACGGTCACAAAACATTCATTTTGCACGATTTGGTAATATATGTTTGCACTTATAACAAAACTGTCATTTCTGTCAATCTCCATCCAAAACCCTAACGGAATGCTTATGTGGCAGCTGACTCAATCTCCAAATCGGCAAAATATTAATACAATATTTTTTAACTCATTAACAATATTTTAAGAAGAAAACTAAATATCCCTTCTTAGCCGCTCAACTCCTCTGACCTCCGCTCTGTTCTACAAAGAAACTCATCCGCTCCTTCTACTGAGTACCCAAATTCCACCAACATGATTACAACATCTAAGACAGCAGAAGCCTACCCTTAAATCTTTATCCAATAACGCGAGGAAACTCGAATTCTTTTTCTTCCCCTGCCCGATGGCGGCGCGGTCTGGGCACAAACGAAAGGGAAAACCAGAGGATTGGTTTTTTCCGCTATTGAAACTAGTGTCCAAACTGGAAAAGCCAAGGGAAGGCAGAGAATATGGAGAATGGACTTTTGCGGGTTCCCATCGTCGGTGGCTGAGAGGATTCCGATGTGGAAGACGGGAGAAGATAGGGCGGCAGAGAGGCCGAACCTGTTGAAGTTGATTCCTTGTGCATATACCTCTTATTTTTGTTTCGTCTTCGGAATTTGGGTT